TGGTGTATATTTAAATTTTAGGCCCATGTTAGCCGATACACACATACACACACAACACACACACATATATATATATATATACATACATACATACACATATATATATATATATATATATATATATATATATTCTTTATTTTTTAACTATTAAAATAGTAGCGTACAATTTAGTTTCTACTTTTTAGTGCATTATTACATAAAAGCTTGTAATTAAAACGTTTTTTTAGCGCAATTTCCATTCTGGAGAATTGCGTTTATTAACTCGTCATTTCTGGGAATGGATGGATGGATGGATGAATGAATGTATGGATGAATGTGTGTCCGGGCTTTAAGTCGTATCTCCTCCTCAACGAAGCAATATCGATGACTAGTTCCAAAAGCAATTATGTTAAGCAAGTTACGAGAATGAGCATAGGCCATAAAAATTGCGGGTTTCTTTCATGTATTTCCCGGAAAAGCCAAAAAACCTCGAAAAAATGCAGTTTTTGGCCCATATCTCGGCAACCAGACCACTTAGCGACTTGAAACATGTACCAATCGATTCCTGCCATAATTTAGAACAATATTGCCGAAGAAAGTTTTCAAAAATATCCTTTCGTTCGGTCACAAACATTTTTTTTTAATTAATTAAAATTTGGACCGAATTAGTAGGCATTTTTTCCAACCACACCACACGCGTCATCACGTTCAATAGCTGCTCCATCACGTTCACTGGCTGCGTCATCACGTTCAGTAGCTAGGCGCGCAATGGTTTTTAGTCATGTAACTCTATTGTAAATAAAACATGTAAAATACTGAAAAAAAAATTAATAAAAAACGTTTTAATAACTAACCAATGGTTTTACTAACCCTGGCCTGCTCTTGATTTACGCTACGACAGAGCTATTTTTAGATAACATAAGGAAATTGCGCTTAAATTGTCACAAGACTTTTTAATTACCTTGTTTAATGAATGTTTAGGCCTATGTGTTACAATTTGGTAGCAGAACAATCAAAAATATAGATCTAGGCCTAAGTTTGTTTCAATATAGTAGAGCCTAATTCATTTTTTAAAACACCCAAATCTATTTTTAAAATATGGCGGCTTATTTACTTCTGTAGATGCGTGTTGTGTTGGCTTGTTTCTCATTTCATTTATGGTATTTAAAATATTTAAACGTTTTACTGGATGAGTGAAAGCTTCTCCAATAGATCAAGATCTAGATCTAGAATCTATATAAATTTAAAGCTAATGAAATATTTCGCTGTAGATCAAATTATTAGATCTAGATCTAGATCTAGAATCTAGATCTAGATCTATTCGGTAATCTATCGTTTTGTTTGGGTACGTAAAATCGCCCGCGACTATTAAAGTACGAAAACGTTACCTCATTGTCAAGGATTTAATAGAAGTATATTGTGATATGTTTGTGTCAAATATTATAGATAAATGAATAATAAACCTAAATCAATGGCTAAATATATCAATATGAATATAGGCCAGAAATTAACTTTAAAGTTTTAAACAGCAGTGTCTGCTATATATTATATAATAATTATATAATATAATATTAATAATAATAAATATATATAAAATAATATATATTATAATTATATTATATAAAAATATATATATTATAAACAGCAGCCAAATAGAGTAAAATAGAGTGGCTTCCCCTTGAATCTCGTGCTATAAGTTTATAAAAATAAAACTTAAACAAGATGACTTATAGTAAATGAGCATGGTTGCATCTGTTGGAAACATCGCTAGTCTTCATTTATTACTGAAAAGTTTTAATTCAACTGTTAATTCAATTGTTTAAAAACAGGTGTATAAATGAAACAAGGAAACATTTTAGTATTTTAAAAAACATAAATCTTCCTCAAAATGTGAAATAATTATTAAAATTTAAGGAGTCACCTGTTTTTCACATTACAAGTCGCTGGCAATTTTACGTACCCAAAACGATAGATTACCCTTTATTCTTTAAACTTAAAAAGTTTTAATACCAGTCTTGTCTTTTTACATTATCAATCCAATGATTATCATTATGATTGATCATCAAATGTTTATGTCTTATGATGACTGTTGAGGGCTAGAATCATATATATTAAATATGATTGGTCTCAGTGTTAACTGTTATGATCGCCCTGACAGAATTAGGACAAAAACAGGAAACTGGCAAATTTGACCTCATGCTTTATTATTATTATATTATAATAGATTCTAGAATCTATATTTAAATTATAAATAGATTTTATCAGTAGTAATTACTTGAAACTTTTTATCACTTGTAGATCTATGATGTATCAACATACTCATCATACTGTTATAGCTCTCTCTCTCTCTCTCTGTTAACTTATTCTAATTATGGACCTGCAAGTGACGCTTACTGTTAAAGAATATTTGATTCTCATCAACCATGGACAATTTATATTTATAATATAACTAGATCAGAGAGTTAGTCAGTCTAGCTAGCAGTAGCAGCTAGGCCAGTTAGCCACTAACTAGATCTACATCTAGTAGACGTCTAGAAAAACTAGATCTGGTCTAGATCTAGATCTAGATTTTCTAGATGTGGCTAGCTAGTTAGCTAGCTAGACTCTACACCTACACCAGCCTGAGCTACTAATCTAGATCTAGTCACTAGTAGCTACTAGAGTCCGAGATCTAGAATCACCTAGTCAAGCCCAATGTATTTGAGCAGTAGATATATAGAATAAATCTAGCACAGCCTAGATTCTGGAATGGTATTAGTAGATCTATACAGATAAGCATTTTAAAAAATGGTATAAGGCGTAGTCTGTCACGTCGTTCCAGAATCCACCGGTGGTTGATCTATTCTACTTCTCTTTAAAATTAAACCTTACCTTATTAAACTTTATTTGGCACCATGTTTTGTTTTAATTTTAAAATGTTAATATATCTAGATTCTAGATTGATTTTAGGTGCATGTTAATAAAATTAAATACTATTATTTTGCTATTAATTTTGTATTTCTAATTATTTTTAAGTGTTTTTGCTAATTATTGCTGCTATTAAACATTGTTCTATTTCTAGCCTTTTTTACTATTTTGGTAAACATTTTTACTTGGCCTAGATTCTAGGTCTGGATATCTAATTGACCATCACAAAGTTTTTATTTCTGTTTCTAAAAAAATAATTTAACTAATTAGGCTATATTTAACTGTAACTAATTTTCTATTTATTTCTGTTTCTTTGTGAATGTCATTTAAACTAAAATATAGTTCAAACACTTATTTAGTACACTTGACTATTTATATTTCAATGGTCAGATAAACTATGGTTTACAGTAAGTAATGTTTATCAAACTCTACAAACATTACTGGATAATTTTTTACACTATACTTGGAGATTACCCGAAAAGATAATCCTACTTTAAGTTAGTAGATCTCATCTAAAAATCTAAGTGAAAATACTCTGGCAATACGTCGATAATTTGTTTAAATTTATGGAACAAGATTGCTAATGTAAATAAAATAAAAGTTAAAACTTTAAAAGTTTTAAAAACTATTGTCTCTTTATCTGAAAATCTATTCTAAACAAAACTAATAAACTACCTTTTGCATGACCACCTAAAACAGAATCCTTGGATGTTTATCATTTCTCTTATTCTATTTCTGTGTATATTCTAGTGTTATATTTTTTGTTATTCTTAATATATTTACTGTTTTCGGCTAATGTTAAAAAGGCTTCTGTTCCGTTTGTAACTTTTTAAAAAAACCATTAACAAACATAAGAAAGTGTTATACATTTAAATTACAAAATGAATACCTTTTCTACAGATTGGCATAGCCGGATATTTTCAAATGGGTTCAGTATTATATTGCATGTAACACATAAGTAGATTTAGTGAGCAGACAGTTAAAACCTCTCAATTAATTTCTTTATTTTGTTTTGAATTTAGTCCAAACTTGTTACAGAACGCACAAACTAGTTTGAAGAACAAACAACAATTATGGAACCTGGCAATGAAGCTGTCAAAACTGTAAGATTTTATTGAATTGTAATTATTCATTATTTTACCTTTACTTTGTATATTAGACATAAGTGAATATAATAGACTACATTTACCAACAAAAGCGTCATCCTAATTCACTTGTCATTTTTCAGACTGCAGACAAAACTAAGGCTGAGTTAGGAGATAAAAATGTCAACTCATCTTTCACCTTCAGAAAGCCTTTCCCAGAAGTTAAAGCGACGACCTCAGCACGGTTGGGTGGAGCATCACAAACTTTAAGTAAATTTCTTATTCAATGATTTTTTTATATGATATTAATATTTATTTACACAGTTTTAAATAAACATGTAAATAATGACTTTACTTATTATATCAATATTTGGGTTTTTACACAATTTTAAATAAAAAACTTATATGATGACTGTACACAAGCTTTCAATTTTTTTTTTTAATTGACACATTTTTAAGTACATTGAGTGCACAGATATATATATATATATATATATATATATATATATATATATATATATATATATATATATATATATATATATATATAAATTTACACAATTTGAAGTAAATATTTATACATGACTATAAATTTAATCTTGTATAATATTCCTTTAGATTTTTTTATTAAGCATACATAGTATCAACAAAAATTAGAAGAATTAACAATTTATTTGATAACTTAATTTTTAAAAAGACTGATCATAGAATATTATGATGTATTTATGTACTAAATTATCTATTTTAAAATACCAACAGAGAAGAAACATGATAGTTAACTAATTAAATAAATTAAATGACTGAACATATTACATGCTCATCTATTTATAGCCTGAAGTACTTGGAAAACCTGTGGTGCACTATTCCAACAATACTGGCAATAAAAAAAACAGAAAATGTTTCTCTACTACATCCGCAGCACTGTTAAATCTTCTTAAACAAAAATGACAAGAAACAAACCCCTCAAAAATAAACTTTTAAGTATGTATTCATGTCAACCATGTAATGAAGACATTTTATTTCACTCAGCGCCACAAACTACATCAACAGAAAAATATGAAGACAGTAAATCAACAATTCAAGCGGCTAAACAATTTCTACAAACAGCGAGTAATTGGTTGTTTTTTTTTACTGAAATAAATATATTTAAAAAGAAGCTAAGTTAAGCATGTAATACTTCTACTTTTAAAGTTTATACTTATTTCATTGTTTTAAATATTTAAATATTGTGTGTTAATTTTACATGTATTACAGAAATAATCAGTCGACTAGAACTTATAGAGAAAGCTCTATTTTCTCTTCAAGACAGCAAACAAAAGACTGAAGATGACATATCAGAAATAAAACAATGGAGAGACAACTTGCAGACAGAAAAAAATAATATGGCAGAACAATTTTGTAATCAACAAAAACAAAATCTTGAAAGCCTCAGACAAGAAATAAGAGAACAAGATGACAAAATAAAGGAGCTGAACAAAGAAATTGAGAGTTTAAAAGAAAAGGAAGCACAGTCAAACAAAACACTAGAAAAACTTTCTCTAAAGATCAAAGAATATGAAAACAACTTAAATACAATAAATCAAGAGATGGAACTTAAGACGGATAGTCTAACACAGGAAGTTAGAATTCATTGCTCTCTGGTGTCTTCTTTACAAGACCAACTACAGGAAAACATGCTACATACAACTTGTAACTTAAATGAGTTATATGCAAAGGTAATTAATTAGGTTGGTTTTTGTGTTTACTTACGAAAGCAATATTTTGTTTAACTAGTTTGTAGCCATGTTTAGAAATTTAATTGTGTTCAAGATGTGTCAGATATTTTACATTGTGATTGTATGGTGTGTGTTTTCAACAGGTAAATCTGTAAACCTCCATTAATTTGGTGAATATCGTACTGTGTTTTGTGTTATACATTTTAATACAAATTAAAACTAACAGGTTTTGTTATTGTCAGAATATAAACTGACCAGATTTATTGTTATTGTCACAGCTAGTATATCATGTCCATTTATCATGTCAATGTCATAGGGAAGTAAACTGACCAGTTTTGTTAGTGTTACAGGAGATTTAAAATGACCAGTAACAAGAGTATGTGTCATATTAACCAGTTATTAATTTAAGATGGCTTCTTAAAGAATATAAACTTACCAGTTAGCATAGACTTTGGTGTCATAGGATAAAAACTGACCAGTTACTAGAGAATTGTGTTCTGTTTGAGATATATATTAATGTATTATAGGGGATCTACGCATTCAAAAGAAGTAAATAAAAAAAATTGTTTTTATTTAATACATTTATCTATATTTAAAAAAAATAGTTGGCCTCTTCTTTGTCATCTTTGAAAATACTTTTTAAATTATTAAATTAAATGTCTTTTTTTTTACTGTTCTACAGTTTGAAAATCAAGCGAAGGATGTTTTGAAGCTTGAAAATCAAGTAAAGGATGTTTTGAAGCTTGAAAATCAAGTAAAGGATGTTTTGAAGCTTGAAAATCAAGTAAAGGATATTTTGAAGCTTGAAAATCAAGTAAAGGATGTTTTGAAGCTTGAAAATCAAGTAAAGGATGTTTTGAAGCTTGAAAATCAAGTAAAGGATGTTTTGAAGCTTGAAAATCAAGTAAAGGATGTTTTGAAGCTTGAAAATCAAGTAAAGGATGTTTTGAAGCTTGAAAATCAAGTAAAGGATGTTTTGAAGCTTTCAACGCCTTTGAATACAATAAGTAAGTGTAGTAGTTTTACTTTTAAATTTCACATTTAAAATGTAGCTGTAATGCTAATTATTTATTTTATCCTATTACATTTTGAGATGCACAGTTATACCTGTTTATTTTAGACCACATATTTTCTGGTGGTGTAAAGGTGACTGATTAAATTATCTATAGACAACCTCTAACTGACTTAATTTAATGAGCCTAAACACTTGGATCAATTTATTTCCTACCCCTGTCTACTGGGAGAATTGTGGCAAGAGTTACACCTCTTGTACACCCTGTCTCTGAACCTTAGTGGTTGTCTCTTGACTTAGAATCAACAAATCCAACAAACACATTAGCTAAGAGCTATGTTGTTGATATGTATGTAGTTACCAGCTATGTTGTTTATAAACACCTGAGCCGACCCACTATGTAGCATACGCCGCTTTCTAGTTGTTTTGTTTTCTACTTATCAACAATTCATAATTCGTGAATTCAACACTACCCCACCCCCCTGCTCACCCGCCCAGTGAAAGCAGCCGTTTACAGACAACAATAAAAATATCAAGCAGAACTTATTACCTCCCCTTAGTTTCAAATCATTTAAAAAGAAAATTATCTGCCCCTAATAGCCATGACTTATTCGAACCAGCTCTACTATTGTAAACATTCGGGGTGAACCATAGCTCACCTGACAGGTGGGGATGAGGGTGGTGGCTAAGCTGCGTTGTGTCTCGTATGGTCCCCATGAAGAGAATTTGAATTATGTATATAGATTAGCTACCAGCTATGTTATTTATAAACACATTAGCTACCAGCTATAGTGTTTACAAACATTAGCTACAAATACAATAGCTACATTGACTACTTACAACTATGGATAAGTGTTGCCTTATTTAGATCCACTAAATATATCAATCAGTGTATTACAAATGTGTGGTAATATAACAGACTGTATTGAGCTGGATGGAAAATGTATAGATCTTCATACATGGTGTAAACAACAGCCGTTTTAAAACATCAGTAGACCTTATAGACATAAAATACATGTCAAACAAAATATAACAACAGACAGTATTGAAGTGTCAGTAGAAATAAATAACTTACTTATGCACACCCTTTTCCCCCTCACCAAACACACATTTACCTGCTTTCCCCCCCCCCCCCTCCCCACACACACACACATAAAAACATTAAATTGACACAATCACACAGAAACAAACACATACATTATGTTTAATAATATTAACAATAATTTCACATTTTCCCAACAGAATCCCCTTCATGTAAACCTTACATCTGTCAACTGCACGTCGACAACAACACACCAGTAACCAGGGGAACCATTGTTTCTACATTCTATAATGTGTGGGAACGTAACGGCTGCCATTTTAATCAGACAACAGGCAAGCTTGTAGCACCAGATGATAGCATCTATCTCGTCATTGCAACATTGCTGGAGAATGAAAATAAACTAATTCGAGTGAATGTTTTAATGGGGGATGTGTTATGCAATGAAGTTTTTGTCAAGTCTGCCCTAACATCAGTCTGTGCATCAACTGTTGTTTCCATGAAGAAAGGGGGAGAACTTTTCTTTCAAGTGGCTCAAGCTGATGTAGGGGCAAGGCTACAAGGAGGAAGTGGTTTCACCATTGTTAGATTATAAAAATAAAGTCTGTATTTTACTTACAACATTTAGTGTTGAAAAATAATTTTCTGTATTTTACTTAATACATTTGGTGTTGTAAAAATTATTTTCTGTACTTTACTTAATACTTTTAGTGTTAGATTGAAAAAATAAATGTCTTATTTTACTTAACAATTAATACATTTAATGTAAGATTGAAAAAATATATTTCTGAATTTTACCAAAAATATTTGATGTTAGATTTTTTTTTTAATGTTTATTTTACCAAATAAAGTTGATGTTTTGTTGTTACAAGTTGAAGCTAGAAGGAGGAAGTGGTTTCACCATTGTTAGATTATAAAATTATAGTCTGTATTTTACTTAATACATTTAGTGTTGTAAAAATAATTTTCTGTACTTTACTTAATACATTTGGTGTAAAAATAATTTTCTGTATTTTACTAATTTCATTTGGTGTTAGATTGAAAAAAATTAATGAAATGTCTTATTTTACTTAATACTTTTGATGTAAGATTGTAAAAATAAATGTCTGAATTTTACCAAAAATATTTGATGTTAGATTTTTTTTTAATGTCTTTTGCCAAATAAAGTTGATATTGTTGATGTTATAAGGAGGAAGTGGTTTCACTATTGTAAAGTTTATAAATAAATTTCTTTATGTTACAAAATACATTTGATGTAAGATTATAAAATGCATCTTTCTTTCATAAAATCCTTGTGAAGCAATAAAACCTAGTGAACACAGTTTTCCTCTTTGATTCGCTAAAATAAACAAGAAATGCCATTGGTCAGTTATAGAAGAAATGTATACAATAAATAAATGTTATACATATTGTAGCATGTACAAAGACAAGTCAAACTATAATCACATGTAAAACTTAACAAGGCTTACTAAAATAAAAATGCACAAACAGACAAAACGTGATCAAATTTGGGCATTTATTAAGTATATAGTAATCATATTAACTCAAAGCCATACAGTAAAGTTATATATGTTTATGTCTCTTAAAATTTTAGTCCTTTTTTTACTTGATTCATTGGTAATAGCAATGTGAATTACTTACAAAATTTACACATTGGACACTTAACATATTTCATTTCAAAAAATTACTTTCTCACCCCATAGCTACTATATGAGTATTCTTTTATGCATAGTTCTTATGGCAAGTAAAACTATTGCTCTTATTATGTTTCAGCTCTAAACAATATAATCATAAACCAAATTAGCCCAGTAAAAGTAAATAATTGGAGAAGTAAGACAACGACCACATTTTAGAAAACTAAAAACTAAAATTTCTTAATCTACACCAAAATTAACAAACTTGGCGTATAAACAAATGATGCATGTGGTGAATTTCATTTATACATATGTTTTTTTAAATAAAATTATGATGTTTATAGTACTTAAAGAATAAAGTTAATTGACCTACCAATAGTCTGGAAATCCTGTGACAACTTTAAAACTTCTTTTTCAAGTGTTTGAATCTGGTAGTGGATACATGGGAAGTCATATTTCAGACAGTAAAAAAATATTTATATAATTTACAGATACATTTTGATTGTCCATAATCATTGATATACTTTTTGCACAATTCAATACATATATTACACATTAACAGCCTGCATAAAGAGAGTTTTAACACTTTATGAAAATTCTGATAACTCAAAATTGATTGAGTCATTTTACTTTAAATACAGTTAAAAATAAATGCTTCTTCAAAGTAGCAAATTATACGTTCAATGAAATATCTAAACCACAACACTTTAATCACGAAGCTTTTTACTTGTTTTATACAAGCTCTTCCCTTGTTATATTTCCGCCGTTAAATACATTATTCAAAATATTATTATTTTATTATATATATAGTATATATATATATATATATATATATATATATATATATATATATATATATATATATATATATAGAGAGAGAGAGAGAGAGGAATGGCCTACAATAATCTAAGGTGTAGATATATTTTAGTTTCAATATCTTTTTTCATTTAGTTTTACGATAGGAGACATTAACGTTAGGCCTACATCATTCTCCAAATGTAAGACAAAGGAAAATGTGAGTTTTAATGAAAATAAAAGTATAAAATTACGATCTATTTCATACAGATGTCTCAACATTTTAAAAAGCATTTAACTAACATGCTAGAGCTAATGGACGATTCAAGTTTTCATTTACAAAAATCAGTGATTTTGTGCAGCAGGTAAATATACAGGGCTTTCTTGGCAAATGGCGTGTATTTTACATGGGTTAATTTTATTTTAAATATTATGTAAATACAAGTGTTACAGTTTTCTATTTATTTATCTGATATATTGTAAATCTGTTATATGTTTTAACTATTTTAAATGATATTTTAAGTTATTCATATTATCATATTTACAGGTTTCATTATAATTCGTTTGACAGATCTTACAGTTCGAAACTTAATAGTGAATATTTGTAATATTTTATTTACTGACGAATGGACGGACAATTAATAAATCATACAAATAAAAAGGTGGTTTCAAACGGATTATTTGAGGTAATAAATCTGTGTATTTAATAAAGTTATTTGGTGTTTAGGTGAATAATATTTAAATAAATATTGTCTTTGTTTTTCCATAGTAGTTTGTGCATGCTATACTTGTTGTGTAAAAACCAACCTAAGCATATTTTAATAATATCTATATGTGGCTAATCGGGTTGTTCAAATTATTTTTCCCCCTAGATCAACAACGCCTGCCCTTTAATGCTGTAAAAAAGCGTGATGATATTTTCACACTGTCTGACGACAACAAACAGGGAGATTCCATTCAGTCTCTCGCGCGTCGTCTTAGAGGTACTATGCAAATCTTCGTGCAAACCCTCGCTGGCAAAAAATTTAACATTGAGGTTGATCTATCAGACACCACTGAAATCGTCATGGACAAAATATTTGAAAAAGAAGGCATTACACCAAACAAACAACGTCTGATATTTTGTGGCACAAATCTTAAAGCTGGTCGTAGATTGTCAGATTACAACATTAAGAAAAACGAAACCATTTATCTTATGCTTCGTCTGGGACATAACTAATACTTGACCCTTTCATTGAAGAACCCAAACTCAATGACTATGTTACTCTATTTACTGTTCTTCTAAAGTCAATTTCACATTTTTAATAGTCAAGTGATGAAAATGTTGGGCTGAGGTAAACAGTAGACCGACAAGCTAATCATTAATGTGGCATGGTTACCGAACCTAAGCATATATTGTCACTTTTTGTTTGTTTAATGTCCCCACAAGTAAAGTAGACAATTCGCTCTGCTAGTTTGTTTTGTAGTGGATCTGATTGGCTTAACGTTACAGGATAACTCAAAATTTTAGATGGGAAAAATAATTATTTCTTTTTTTAAAAAGGTATTAGAGATTTCAATGCATGTGTACGTCTGTGTCGTAATGTATACATTGTTATGTATATCTGTTAAACATAATTCAATGTTTTGTGATTTTATCTTAACACTAAGGCAGGTCTTCTATAATATAACCAGTGGCGTAGCCAAGATCGTCTCAAGGGTGGGGGGTTCCAATTTCGATTTGCACCCCCCCCCCTCCACTCAAACTTTCGATTTGCACCCCCCTCATACTATATATATATATATATATATATATATATATATATATATATATATATATATATATATATATATACCGAGGGGTCTATGGGGGGGTTATGACCCCACCCCCCCTGCCTACGCCACTGAATATAACCATGACTTTTATCAGACTATTCTGCATTTTAACATTGATCTCTATTACACCCTACTGCTATGTAACAAAGATTTATATTAAACTCTAATCATTAATTAATTTAATTTGTCTCACATTGTTATTATAAAGTCATTGATACAGATTTTAGTTACAGATTTTATGATTATCTCGTGTAGTGTCTGAGTAGGAACATGATAATTGACTTTTATTGCGCATTTGTACAATTAGTTTTCCTGTTACTAGATGTTAGAAGAAGAAGTAAAGAACAGTTCAACTACAACAATAATTACACTGTTATTAAAGACATCATTTACAAACGCATATTACATGTTATTTTAACACACAGAAGAACAAATCGCTATTTTATTCTATAGCCATTTATCACATTTTTATAGCTTATAAAAAAGCTTCAAAATTTTATTTATCTTAAAATGTGTATATGTTTGGTCTTTGTTATTGCAGCCTTGCTTATTTTCATTCCAACAACATGGGAAACGATCATTTTTAACAGCATTATATCTTTTGCAACGCTTGATAGGGGATAATTTTGTACTTGGGACACTACACATGTTTTTTATTCTTTAATATACGTTGCCACTATTTGCTGTGATGAAAATAGCATCATAGATATACACGACAGAGAACATTACCCAAAAAAAACATCACCCAAAAGCTGGAATGTGAACACGACTGGATGATTTTAAAAGGAGACTAAAGACATTGCTTGGTTAATTTTTAACTTAAATAAATTATCCATTTTAAATTATAATTAAAACATTAGCTAGACAAGCAGCACACAACTGACAAGTCTACGGAAAATCTAACTTCTATCCACTCCACTAACAGAAGACATTAGAGCAGGTCAGCCAGTACACAACACACCAGGGAAGACGACGATTTAGATAACGTCTTGGTAAAGGAAAAAGAGAGGACAAACCAACAACTAGACCCGACAAACTCTCTAAACAAATTCATTAAAAACTGTAAACAGCTGAGCGACAGTGACAGACTTGACCCACAACATTACACAGGGGACACGATCTTAAAGACTATAAGGCGACATAAGGAGACTGGTCAAAAGGAGACAACAATTAAATATTTTCATCTTAAAAGTATTTTTAGGTATCTTTCCCTTTTTTTTCTAAAAAAAAAAATTATAATATGCGTGAAAAATCTATGTAATCATACTAAATTTTTGTAAAAAAAAGTTATTTTACATTGGTAAAAATTAAAGCCGTTTGAGAACCATCGATTTCACCCATTTTTATATTTTTATATCGAATATAAGCTGTTGAAAAGCCGTTTAGAATTATTTTATCAATTTAAATATTTTCAAAAACTGGCCTCAACCTCTCCTTGAAGTCAACTGGCGTGGCCAGAAGAGTAAAACATTAAAAGTTAGAATAATATATTTTCCTTGATAAAAATACACAACAGTGATCTATAGTGTATAACGTAGTATTTTATTGATATTAAATAATATAACATCCCCAATCACCACAACACCCTGACTCTACTAATCCAAATTAAAGCTAAAAGTGATTGTAAAGTACTACTGTATTCTACAATTGTACTTTTTGGTTTTTTGTCTGCTGACCTCCTATTTGACCTTATTTGATGCGGTCATTAATGGTAAGCTCTCTTTCTGAAAGGTTCCTGTTTAATCAAGTCTTTGAAGTTTGCAGCTAACAAAGTTCTGAAGGCTCTATAGTGTATTCAGGATTATCCGTCTCTGTGGGAAGTTTGTGTTTTGGAGGATATGAGGCCTACAAATGGGAAAAATTGTGTTTAAACAAAGAAACTGGTTAATTTTTTTAAAAATTAACAAAAGTACGTATTCAGGCAAACGTTATGTAATAGTGTATTGTCATCAATAGGGAGATATGTGGGGGCACTGGTATTGAATTTATTTTTCTTTAAGTTTCTATTCGATTATATTATTTTGCGCGAATAACAAACAATAAGTTGGTTGATTTTGTCCTTTATAATTATGATTAAAATAAGAAACAAAACATGTGTGACTCAACAAAAACACATCGGCAAAATACGAAAGACAATTTGTTTGCTATTGTTTAGGAAAATATCTAAATATTTAGTATCAAAATAGTAATAATATGTTTAATATCAATAAAAGTCCTTATTTTCTAATATGTTGAAAACAAGTTTGGATTCTAATCTATATTTGTTCTTTAATAAATGCTAATAAATGTACAACTTATTGATATTTTTAAAAAAATAATATTGTTCTTCCTTGCAAATGTTGTGTCATGATGTCTAAAGGGAACAAGAAAAATGTGAACATTCCAAATCCTTATAGCTGGTGACTGAATATAAAATATCTCCAGATTTCATCCGAACCTCAAAAGTCTTTGAAGCTTCTACAGATTTATCTTGTGTCCAAACCTCCCCGGGCCAAGTCACCACACGACCAGATTTGCAAAAAACACCAGCTCCTACAGCTTGATATCCTGTTTGTTTTATTGTAAAACTTGCTTTATACAGGCCATCAACAGGGGCGGTAAACATTCCAGTGTTTGGATCAAAATGGTTTCCTACGTTACGTTCTACAGCACTGAATGTAATAATTTGGTATCCGCCATACATTTTCCCCTCCCAGCGACCTTGTGAAGCAATAAACCCCGGTGAAGAAGGTTTCACTTGTTGATTGGCTGCAAGAAATAAAATACATAAGGTATCTAAACATTACCAAATACTTAATACTAACTTTTTTTTTAAACTTGTTGGTTGAACTTAGACCAGATTTTCACATTAGAACTGTTCCGAATCAAGTGACGCAGCTTTTAGACATACATTTATAAGATAAAATTTCAAGAATAATATTTTTTCCAACTAGATTTCTAAGTAAAAAGTAAGGATTTCATTTGTATATTGAATGCATTTAACCACACAAGACACCAAATCATGTACATTATGGACTAATAATTTGTTCAGAAGTTTGAGGTCTATAAAAGGGTAGCCTCGGCCCAAAACAGAAGACTACGTTTAATCTATCATTCTCGTACTTTTGGCTAACATTAGTTTCACAATGGTTTAAGGTGGGTTGTTTCCCCTACAAAAATGTCTCCTGCAGTAAAGTCCATTACATCTCTGATATGGGCCAATAGAGTAAAACAGTGGGAATCTACATTTAATGATTAACACGAAAATAGCATACTTCTACATAAAAACAATGCAATAATCAAAGCACATAAAACTGTATACCTTGATTTTTTTAAAATACAAAGGCTATTACTGTTGACAATTATCGTGAAAAATAAAAACCTTAAACAAATGAAGATATGAACGTATTTTTAAAATATGTTTATTAATAAAATAATTAGGAAATATTTGCAGTGTATTTTTAAAGATGCTTATTTGATCTATACTGTAGCTTTACTTTAAAAGCATTCACAAATGAGTCAAAAGCTATAAGTTACACAATTTAGACACATTTACCTATGGAAAAAATAAACAACATTATATATATATATATATATATATTTGTTTATTTATTTATTTATTTATCTATCTATCTATATATATATTAAGCAATATATGTTTGTTTGTGTGTGTGTGTGTCTGTCTTTTATGCATTACTACACCTCTCATCACATCACCGTGAAACTTTGGGAAGTTGTTGAGATAATTCCTGGGGAGGTTTCTGCGAAAAAAAATATTTCAAATTCGCAGGGGTGGCGCCCCAACAGGGCGCGATTTGTTTTTTTCTATATACAGTATATAAAAAAAAAGTCGATTTTGGTTTGGCCTTGTTCATCCGATAGCCATGAGACTTTGGGGAGTTCATTATAGCACTCTAGGGAAGGGTTCTGTAAAAAATAATTTTTAATTTCGCAAGGGCTGCGCCACGGGAGGGTCCGATTTGTCTCTATATACGGTGTATAAAAATAATAAAAGTGAATTGCAGTGACACCGTTCATCCGATAGGCATGAAACTTTGGGGAGTTCATTATAAAACTCTAGGGAAGGGTTCTGTAAAAAAATCATTTTTAATTTCGCAAGGGCGGCGCCACGGGAGGGTGCGATTTTTCTCTATTTACTGTATATAAAAATAAGTCGATTTTGGTGTGACACCGTTATCCGATAGCCATGAGACTTTGGGGGAGTTGATTAGAACAATTCAGGGAAGGGTTCTGTAAAAAAACTTGTTCAATTTCGCAAGGGCGGCGCCACGGGAGGGTGCGATTTTTCTCTATATACGGTTTATTAAAATAAAAGTCTATTTCGGTTTCACCGTTCATCCGTGTACCATGAAACTTTGGGGAGATGATTAGATCACTCAATGGTAGGGTTCTGCAAAAAAAATATTGTTTAATCTTGCAAGGGCGCCACCCCCCACCCCCCCCCCCCCCCTACGATTTTTTTTCCTATACACGGTATATAAAAAATAAAACTCGGATGCGGTTCATCCGAATGCCATGAAACTTTAGGGAGTAGATGAGAATACTCCCGAGAACATTTCTGCGAAAAAGAAAACTAAAGTTTCTTATGGGCGGCGCCATATAGGGTACAACTTTCGTCAATACACGGTTTGGCGCCCAGAGTTTTAGAGCGACTATGTTAGCACTTGGCATCCGTTAATCGAGTGTCTTGCATAACGAGTAAAGGGTACTACTATATTCAGCGGTAAAACTACAACAGGCTTCTAAAAATAACTTTTTAACGCGAGGAAATCCTTCTGTACAGTTTCGTCACCTTGCCAAAGATGAAAAAATAACTTTTTGAATATGAGGAGCCTACTGTAGAGTTTCGCCACTTTGCGAATGATGCAATAAGCATCTATTATTAGACAATCCAGTCAGAAATTGAGATCGAGCATCTAATAATAGACCATTAGTAACGCTAGCATATTGCATCAGTCACACTGATGTTTAAAACACGTCAAATACTTTTTTTACGTGTTAAAGAAAAAAATCCTGTTCATTTGTGTCACTTTAGCGAATGTCGAAATCTGCATCATTGTTTACAGGATGCTATTGGCACGCTGGGTTACCCTATGAGTACGATGGCGCCTGTTTGTTTTAAGGAGCCAGGGGCCGTACGCTGCGCCTATGCGGTATTGTATACGGGGGGTGGGGGGCTCCTGAGAGCGCCCCTCTACGTCCCTGACACATGGAGGGGTCATCGAAGTGTGTTCTACTTCATTATTGTGGTGAGTGATTAATGTACACTCAATGTTTTCATGCTGTAGTTTAGGAAAACCGGTGTCCCGATAATTATAATCCAAGCACAGTCATTGTTTAGATTTAAATAACTGTTTTAGAAAACAAGGTCACGCGTCTAAGAACATATGATTGGTAATGCATTGGCAATATCCTTCTAATATATTTTGTCAGACGGAAGCGCTAGTATATATATAAAACATTGTGCTTTCTGGTAAACTAAAAAACAATTTTAACTAGTATTCCATGATTATAATGTATATTTTTATAGAAAAGAAATAACCTACCAATTGATTGAGGATTCTGTGATAGTTTTAAAACTTCTTTTTCCACAGTTTCAGGCTAAGAGCAGAACAACAGTGACAGAAATACATTGTGTCACAAACAATTAATTTGTCTTAATCCATCATCTTTCTTTTTAAGTTGGCGCAGTTAACTACAATCAATACAAGTATTTTGTGTAACAGCTCTGATATAAATAAAGGCTAGAACTTTTACTTTACTTTTTTAATTTATTACTAAAATAAATTAATCTATTTTATTTGATATTTAAAATTTAATTACTTCTTTAAACTAGTAAAAATAAAAAGACAAAGACACATTTTACGACCACTTGTTTTATAATTGTATTAAATATAAAACATGGTGTTTAGCTATGAATATTTATGGTTAATTTACCTTCTTCATTTTCCCTTCCCTAGTCTCATAGTTTTGATTATATATTTCAATTATTTTGTCAATTGGCATCAATCTTTGTTGTAGAAGTTTACAAGTTACAACATGCTAAATAGAATAAATGTAAAAGTACATGTTTAATAAATGTGTTTACATAAGATTAAAAAATAAAACTCATAAAACAACTTATATAATGGCAGAATATTTTACAATGCAAGCAATAAATGTTATGTGATTTAAAATACCAGTGAAGAGTTGCTATGGTAGTGTATAGACGAGAAAATATAGCCACTAATAGAACTCTAGATAAGGGGTCTCCAAGCTACGGCCTTCGGGTCGGATGCGGCCCGTGAAGTCATTTTATCCGGCCCGCGACGATATTTTTCTCCACTGAATAAATGTTTGTTTGAGGTGACTGAGGAGCTTTGCACAGAAAATTCAAAACAATTTGAAAATGTAGCTTAGTGTGCAGATACCATTGCCCGCTGTGTTGCAGACATTGGTGAAAACATCGTGACTGAAATATCGAAAAATGCAAGCAACTTTTGCCATTTTTCATTTGCAATGGATGAGTCGCTTAACAGCTGTTCCACCTCAACTTCTTGTGTTCATTAGAGGTGTGGATGAAGATATGAACATAACACAAGCTCTGGCTTCCCTACATAGAATGTATGATACTGTTACCATTTTGCGAGAAAGTTCTGAGCAGAATATTTAAGTTCAGAAAAAATAGGTGACTTCCTGAAAGTAAAGGCAAGCCACAGCCATTATTGTCGGTGAAGAGTGAGAATAGAAATTGGCTTCTGCAGCAGACATAACAAGTCATTTAAATTTTCTGAATCTAAAACGGCAAGAGAGTGAAATCTAGTTTCTGATCTATAAACCCACCTATAGGCCTTCAGATACAAACTTGTCATGTATTTGGAATAAGTACAGGCCAACAACTTGACACACTTTCAGCAGTGCTAGGTTTTAACGGCTGAAGCAAAACCACTGATTTCCCCACGTCATGTACATACAAGATCATTAAAGACCTCCAGCTGCAGTTTCAGTAGCGATTCTCTTACTTGGATTCAAAGGCAGAAGAAGTGTGTCTGTTTCAAAACCCATTTGAAACAAATGTGGCCATTTGCGAAGATGAACTGCAGCGGGAGGTCATTGAATTGCAAGAAAATGACTTCCTTAGAGACACGTTCAAAGAAGAGCGGATGGGTTTTTATAAGTTTTTGCACAAGGAAGACTTTCCTAATATTAAAACTTCTGCAGCAAAGTACCTTTTAAATTTTGGAACAACATACCTGTGTGAACAAACATTTTCGAGAATGAAATAACTTAAGAATAATTTGAGAACAAAGCAAACTTGGACATCGAGTGTGTTGTCGACCCCCTCCCCCCCCCCCCCCAAGGTGTTTCTTCCAGACTTTTTACTTTAGGGGGAGGGGAGATGGTGGTTGACACTTAAAATGTTTATATATTTATATATAATTTATATTTTGTTGGAGGGGGGTGAAAACGTTCTTCGGCGGGGGGGGGGGGAGCGCCACCACCCCGAAGAGATGCCTTAAAGAAACTCTGGCCCCCGAACTGATATTTGATAGTTAATACGGTCCTCGGGCTGAAAAGTTTGGAGACCCTTGCTCTAGATGAATGCATTGATGTAAATATTATTAAAATGTACCTTAGACAATAATTTATCAAATTTGTTTGTTGTATCTTCTTGTATAGCAGATATCAGAACCGAATGTCTTTGAGTTTCTTGAGTTACATTATCTGTTTTATCTGTGTAAACTCTCATCTCTTTATTTAGTGTGTGCAGGTTGTTTTCATATTCTTTCATATCTAGAGACAGTTTTTCCAGTGTTTTGTCTGTGTCTGATTCTTTCGTTTTTAAACTTCCTATTTGTTGATTCAGAACTTCTATTTGGTTATACTGTTCTTTTAACTGTTTTCTTAAGTTTTTAAAATTCTGCTTTTGTTTCTTAGACAAGTTTTCAACTTTTATCCCTATATCATTTTGTTCTGTTACAAAGTTGTCTCTCCATTGTTTAATTTCTGATATGTCATCTTCAGTCTTTTGTTTTGTGTCTTGAAGGGATGATAAAGCTGTTTCAATATCCTTTAGTCTTCTTGATGTTTCTGGATTATATTCAACTGTAAAATAACAAAATTGTAATTGTGTCAATGTCTGAAGAAAATATTCTCAAACAAACTAAACATAAAGTTCAACACAAAATGTTGGGATTCCAGAATAAACATTGTTAATTAAATGTTAACTAAACACAATAAAACTGTATCTGTTTCATAGCATTCATTAAATATTTTAAAAGAAAAAACACACATTCAAAATTTCTACAATTTTTTTTTACATTGTTATTGTAATATTGTTGATTTTGCCAAAGTGTATTTAAAATATTCTTAGGTATACTGGTTGCAATTATTTGTAGATTACTTATAAATATATTGTATGTTATGTGTTAATGAGTGTAATTTTTTAAATAGTATCATTAAAATACCAGATATTGGAGCTTTCTTATCTTGAATGTCTGGTGTTGTCTTTTCTAGTGTAATCACTGTGGTAGGGGACAGCTTGGTGGATTCTGACAACAAGATGTACACACACATTATATCAGTGCATGATAAACTAATTTATGAGATGAAGAGTTTGCTGTCAGATTGGTGCATATAGATTTTTAATTCATAAAATATTTGTTATCAATCTTATTTAAGTAAAACATTATGAATCTTGTATATCAATTACAAAAAATATCATCATTTTAAAAGCTCAACTGTTTTGAATTTTTATTAAAGCAATTTTATGTTTAATAGAAAAATAAAACTATAACCATACCAGTGAACATGTCTGTGTGTTCTAGTATTGTACTTTGTGCTGTTTTTATCATATCGATTGCATCTCTCATAGCTTTACTGGAGCCAGGTATATTGTCTACACATTCATTGGCTCTAGTTTTGATCTGGACAAGTAAGAAAACTGTATAAAAACTGCTGACCAGTGCCCTATAACACTATGTAAAAACAATGTTGGTCTAAAACTGTTTAGTTGCATGCTCAGGCTTTGAACATGTTATAATGATTACAACAATTTGACGTGATTGAAATATAATGCTTAAATTACAACAATATGACGTAGAAAATGTTAATGAATGCTAGACTTGACTGTTTTGAAAACAATTATCTCGTTTAAAATACACATCAATGATACAAAAACAATTTGTATTTACCTGCTGCAGAAAATCACTGATGATACTCTGTAGATGAAAACTTGACTCGTCCAATAGCTCGAGCTGGGTAGTTAAATGTTTCTTTAGGTGGTCAGACATCTACAAAATAAAATAATTGTGAGTCTTAAGTTTACAGTGGTTTATATTTCCCTCAAACATTTAAATCGATAAATAATATTACAATATATAGTAATTTTTTTAATTTAGTTTAAGTTTTCGAAGTAAACTTTTGTAAGATATACTAAATTATATTATTGGGTAATACAAAATGAAACTGAAACCTTTTAAAACACCAGGCATTAAATCCGAAAATATATATTAATATATAACGAACATCTACAGTATAAACAGACTACATGTTATATTTCATGTTATCTACCATACTGCACATGCATAACTTACGGTGAAGGTCTAAGTCATTACATATCATCCTTACCTTAAGACTATATTCCAGAATAACATCAGCTAAATGTTAAGTCCAGAGTTCCTTAAAGCTTCCGACACATAATATCGGGAAAATCCAATAATTATATAAAAATGTATTCTCGTTTATTGAATACTGTCTGTATGCCAGTAAAGGCGCTATGTCGGGTGTCACCCGGTTCGGCACCTCATGACAAAAAAGTATAGGCTTTATATATACACACACTTATATATATAATATATATTTTATTTATTTTACATATAAACATACAAACATACATATATATATATATATATATATATATATATATATATATATATATATATATATATATATATATATGTATATATATATATATCAGGGGCGTAGCGAGGGGGGGGGGGGGGGGGCAGGGGTTCGGACCGCACCGGGTGAGACCATTTAGGGGGTGACGCCAATGCGAAAAATAGCAAAATATATAGAAAAAAATTGATAAGTCCACTTAATTAAATGATTAATTAGAGTGTTAAATAGTCTTTTAATAGCAAATTTGACAAATCCCGACAAGGGTGGAGGGGGGGGGGGGTGACACCATGACTTAAGCCTGCTAATGAAAGAGATTAACATGCTACATCAAGCTGTATTTATAACCGTCTATAGATTTTAAAAAATCGTTAGCATTATATCTGAGCACAGTTTAAAGCAATCGCCGTGGGGGGGGGGGGGTGGGAGGGCGTGAGTGGGGGGAAGTTACATTAACTCTACGTTGCAAAATATGCATAAGGTAAACGTTTCGGTTGAGAATCGTAATAACTTATGTGTTAATCCATGTTTGGGGGGGGGGGGACAGTTAAAAAATGAAATACATAAAAATATATTGTGAATACATATTTATACACATGCGTATATACATACTTACTTATATGTAAGGTTCTTAGATTTGTCCAGATGAAGTATTGTCTTATATAAACAATTGTTTGTAAAAAAAAATGTATATGTAAAGGGGAGGTGACTTTTTAAAGTAATAACTTTTAAATAAATGTTTTTACTATTTAAAAGAAAAACTAAAATCACAAGGTCTAGCATTCACTGAAATAATTATTTCGTTATAAATTATGTCATGTATTGTACTGAAATCGTACACATTAATTTTGAAAGTGAATTTAATATAATATTTGATTTATACTTCTAAGGAAGCCTTTGCAGTTCTAACAACATTGCGAGTAATAACTCAGATTATATATATATATATATATATATATATATATATATATATATATATATATATATATATATATATATATATATATGTATATATATATATATATATATATCAGGGGCGTAGCGAGGGGGGGGGGGGGGCAGGGGTTCGGACCGCACCGGGTGAGACCATTTAGGGGGTGACGCCAATGCGAAAAATAGCAAAATATATAGAAAAAAATTGATAAGTCCACTTAATTAAATGATTAATTAGAGTGTTAAATAGTCTTTTAATAGCAAATTTGACAAATCCCGACAAGGGTGGAGGGGGGGGTGACACCATGACTTAAGCCTGCTAATGAAAGAGATTAACATGCTACATCAAGCTGTATTTATAACCGTCTATAGATTTTAAAAAATCGTTAGCATTATATCTGAGCACAGTTTAAAGCAATCGCCGTGGGGGGGGGGGGGGGGTGGGAGGGCGTGAGTGGGGGGAAGTTACATTAACACTACGTTGCAAAATATGCATAAGGTAAAAGTTTCGGTTGAGAATCGTAATAACTTATGTGTTAATCCATGTTTGGGGGGGGGGGGGACAGTTAAAAAATGAAATACATAAAAATATATTGTGAATACATATTTATACACATGCGTATATACATACTTACTTATATGTAAGGTTCTTAGATTTGTCCAGATGAAGTATTGTCTTATATAAACAATTGTTTGTAAAAAAAATGTATATGTAAAGGGGAGGTGACTTTTTAAAGTAATAACTTTTAAATAAATGTTTTTACTATTTAAAAGAAAAACTAAAATCACAAGGTCTAGCATTCACTGAAATAATTATTTCGTTATAAATTATGTCATGTATTGTACTGAAATCGTACACATTAATTTTGAAAGTGAATTTAATATAATATTTGATTTATACTTCTAAGGAAGCCTTTGCAGTTCTAACAACATTGCGAGTAATAACTCAGATTATATATATATATATATATATATATATATATATATATATATATATATATATATATATATATATATATATATATATATATATATATATATATATATATGGTGCCCTGTCAAAACGGCCCGGGACAAATCGGCCCCGTCAAAACGGCCCCGTTAATACGACCCCGTCAAATCGACTCCCGACAAACCGACCCCGTCAAAATAGCCCCGTCAAAAGGGCCCCGACTTATTGGCTCCCGTCAAATGGGCTCCCGTCATATTGACTTGCGACATATAGGCTCCCGACAAATGGGCTCCCGATATTTAGGCTCCCGACAAATGGACTCCCGACATATTAACCCCTGACAAATAGGCTCAGGACATATTGGCTCCCGACAAAGCGGCTCCCGACATATTGGCTCCCGACATAAGGGCTCAAGACAAATGGGCTCCCGGCAAATGGGCTCACGACATTTTGGCTACCGACAAATGGGCTCCCGACATATTGGCTCCCGGCAATTAGGCTCCCGACATATTGGCTTTTGACAAAATGACTCCCGACATATTGGCTCCAGAAAAATGAATAATATGACCACTATTGGCATAAAAGCAACCATTGTGTCCTACCTCCAATACCACCATAACCTCTTTTTAATGCCCGAATGAAATTATTTTTTTCATGAACCAACATTAATTCACAAACAAATCGAGCCCTTAACAGCTAAATTCCACCAATTCTAAAGTTTTGATAATGTTTACAACAGAAAAGATCTGTTGCTTAAAAGCGAGCACAGAAGTGTAAATGTATGATATACATGATGTTAACAGCATTTTGTTTTGATAACTACAAGCACAGTGGCGTAGCGAGGTCGGGTGTCACCCGGTGCGGCACTTAATGGTGTCACCCCCCCCCCCAGAGGCGTTGCGACCCTTCCCGGGGACAAACTTTCAAGTTTCCGATTTGCACCCCCCCCCCCCCCCCAAACTTTCGATTTGCACCCCCCCCTCAACTTTTTCTCTATATTTTGCTATTTTTTGCCTTGGTGTCACCCCCTAAATGGTGTCACCCGGTGCGGTCCGCACCCCCGCCCCCCCCCCCCTCGCTACGCCCCTGTACAAGCATATTGCAGTTAGGAAGGTACAGCGTGGACCCTTCTCCCAACACAATGTGTTGGAACAGCCTATAAGTGACTCAATTATGGATGTCATAGATAAATGACCCTTAAATTAAAACATACTATATTTTATTATAGATAAACTAATTTAAAAATAAGGCGAGCCGAACAAGAGATGCATACGTTGTATTACATAAGAGTGTTGGATAAGCTAACTCTAAAGAATATTGATGAAGGGGTCCCACTGGCAGATGTCATATTCAATGAGACCGCTTTGCCGGGAGACTTAGTCTCTACAGAAACGGTATTGTCAGTGCAGTGGCGTAGCTAGGATTTTTGGGCCCCTATGCAAAAATTATCAGTAGGCCCCTTCGTCAGCCGTTAGGCCAGTGGCGTCGCTAGGTCGGGTCTCACCCGGTGCGGCACTTCGTATTGTCACCCCCTCCCAGGAAACAAAGCATATATATATATATATATATATATATATATATATATATATATATATATATATATATATATATATATATATATATATATATATATATATATATATATATATATATATATATATATATATATGTGTGTGTGTGTGTGTGTGTGTGTGTGTGTGTGTGTGTGTGTGTGTGTGTGTGTGTGTGTGTGTGTGTCGGCCTTCATAGGCCTAAAATGTATATATATGCCACATACTGGTACACGTACGTGTTTAAGCTTTAATCACTGCTGACTTAATAGTAACGATGTTTATCTACAGTCTGTTTATAATACAGTTGGATGTAGCATTGTTTTCTTTATAGTTTACGTTTACGTCGTGGTGTCACACCCCCCCCCCCCCTCTTGATATAATTTTTTATTTGTACTTAGAAGACTATTTAACTTTAACTAATGGATCTGGAAAATGGCATTTCATTCTATAAATTTTACAATTTTTTGCCTTTGGTGTCACCCCCCCCCTAAATGGTGTCACCCGTTGCGGTCCGCACCCCCCCCCCCCCGCCTCGCCTTCGCTACGCCTCTGCGTTAGGCTACAGAGGAGTTAAACGAAGAGATCAACTTCTACTTACGATGGATATTTTTTAATATATAAATATTCTGATGGCAACATTTTGTTTTTTATATGTCCTGATTATGTATTTATACTATATTATTATGATTGCCTACTACTGCTAAAAAGTTTATTTATAGGCTGATTCTCTCAATGTCTTGCACGACAAAGTGATATCGCCTGCAGTGTTATTATAACGATTGGGCTCTGTTTGACCCACAAACACTGATTCCCACTGCCGAAACGGTGGGGGGGGGGGCTTTTTGGAACTTTTAACTTTTTTCTTTTTTAAAATTATTTATATGTAACAAATATTAAAATTCCATTGTAAAAGTTTTAATTTTTATGAAGAAAAAGGGCCCCTATGTGCCTTGGGTCCCCATGCCTTGCTTACGCTAGCTTTACGGTAGCTACGCCACTGTGTCAATGGTCCTTTTGTCTGGAGCCAAATTGACAGGAGCCTTTTTGTCGGGAGCCAAAATGACGCTAGCCTATTTGTCGGGAGTCGTAATGACGGGGGCCGTTTTGTGGAGAAACTAAATGGCGGGAGCCTATTTGTCGGGAGTCGTAATGACGGGGGCCGTTTTGTGGAAAAAACTAAATGACGGGAGACTATATGTCGGGAGCCAAAATGACGGGAGCCTATTTGTCAGGAGCCTTATTGACTGGAGCCCTTTTGTCGGGAGCCTATATAACGGGAGCCTATTTGTCGGTAGCCTAAATGACGGGAGCCTATTTGTCGGGA